TGGCGAACCATTGAAAATACAAAATTTAAAGCTGTTGGTGTTCCGGACACGGAAAGTAACTATTTACAGATGTTTTTTTATCTGGACGAGTTATTCCTACATCTTATTTCACAGACTTTTTTTTTCTTTTCACAGTTGATGCTGCTCCACTTACTTCAATATCAATATTTAAAAATGTATATATATATATTACAGGATCCAATTTGTAAATAGAATACATCTTGGAGACGGCTATCGCCGTATTCCCGTCCTCCTCCGCCAATCCTCTCGGTCCAAGGCATGCTCCTCCTCCAAACCTCTCGATTCCATTGCTCTTCTAATACCTTCATTCCATGAGCGTCGAGGTCTACCTCTTTTTCTTCTACCAGGGGGCTTCCATCTGTGAAGTTTTTGGGGCCAACGTTCGTCAGGCATTCTTAACAGGTGTCCAAACCATTTTAAACCTCTTCTTTCTATTCTGTCTATGACCGTATCTGTAGCATTCATCTGATTTCTTATAGATTCGTTGGTTTTCCTTTCCAGCCTTGATGTTCTAGCACTTCTTCTCAAATAATCCATTTCAACTGCCAACAATCTTCTTTTCAGGTCTGCATTAATTGTCCATACTTCAGAGCCATAACAAAGAACTGATTCAACCATCGTTTGCCCTATTCTTTTTTTGTTCCTTTTGGAAATGTTGCGATCCCACCATAAGGAGTTCAAACATCCTACAATTTTACGTCCCTGATTAATTCGGTGTTTAATTTCGGTTTCACCCAAGCCGTTCTTATCAATGAATGCACCTAAATATTTAAATTTTTCCACTTGTGTGATTTCCACGTCCTCGTCTATCAACACTTCAAACCTTGCATCTGAATTGATAACTAGATATTCTGTTTTCTTCATGCTGACTTTTAACCCCCATTTTACATATTCTCTGTATAGACGCTTTATCATAAATTCTAGATCATAAGAATCTTGAGCTAGAACGACTTGGTCATCCGCAAAGTTCAGGGAGAACAGTACGTCATTTCCTATTGGGATTCCCATTCCCTGGCAGTGGTTTTTCCAATTTTGAAGGGCTGCCTCAATATATAAATTAAACAGTAAAGGTGACATACTGCATCCTTGTCTTAGTCCTTTAGTTACTTTTATTGGCTCTGATAGTCTATTTCCGATTTTTAGGTAAGTGGTGTTATCCCTGTATACTTCTGTGATTATTCCTAAAAGGTGTGGACTAATGCCGAGTTGTTGTAAAGCTTGCCACAATTTAGGCCTTGGTACTGTATCATACGCTTTTTCTAGATCGATGAAGGCTAGATGTACTTCGTTACCAACCGCTATTCTTTTTTCTATTAATTGTTGGAGTATAAACAAGTTATCAGTGCAAGATCTACCAGGCGTAAATCCGCTTTGGTCTTCGCTAATTAGATGTCCTACATCATCTTGTATTTTTCTATTTATTATCTTTCCAAACAATCTGCCGAAAGTAGGTAGGACACTCACTCTTGTCTCTTGAAGAAAAAAATTGTGGGACTTTTTCACAAAACTGGATGAGGGACGAAGAGCAACATGCTCTTTCCGTTTGAAAAAAATGTTGATTAGCAACCGCTCAACAATAGGTTTAAAAGGTAATCCGAAAAAGATACACTGTATCAATGTCAACGTCAGTTCTTCAAGATCCAGCACCAGCACCAATATACCAGCTCCAAATGTCGCAAAAGGAACCTCGTCAAAAAATGAAGATAATTAGAAAGTAGTTCTGAGCAAAAAGTTGAAGAAGACTATTGATTCCTATTTTGAAAGAGAAAATTTCATTGAAGGTATTAATACTAGAATGGTTTTAGCTTGAGTTCATTTTGTACCTCACCCGAAAAGGTTATACGCAAAAAGTGGGTTGCAATTGCCAACTTCTTTGAACACTATAAGAGCGATAATTTACAGGTCTACAGACAAAGTGCAAGCAAATGTTATAAAAGAATTTACTAAATTTATAACAAAAAGGACAAAGATTTTCGTTGAGCTTCAACGAGTGGACCTCCAAAAAAATAATCACAGATACATAAATCTCAATTTGCATTTGCACAATGCAGAACATTTTAATCTAGGTTTGATCAAAATTCACGACTCGTGCACTGCATTGAATTAGTGGCAGAACGGTTGAACATTTTTGGTTTAGTTATTGAAAACGACACCCTTGGTATCACAACTGCTGACGCAGCCGTTATGGTGAAAATGTGCCAAGCACATGCCTTGCTATCAACAACTGTGCTATGCACATGGAATTCAGTTGGCTATAGTAGACGTGCTGTAGAAAAAAAACCTTAAAGAGAAGTAGAAAAAGCAGCAATAGACGACACTGATGAATATGAAGACGAAAATGAAGATATGGAGACACAGATGAATAAATGTTATTCCTCTCATACAGTTATTTACTTTTCGCAAACTTAAACGAAAAATGAGAGTGCTGCGGTAATTATTTTTACAGGCATACTTTTGAAAGGGCAAATGTACTAACAAATAAACCTATTTTTTAAATAAAATACAAGGATACATTGAATACACCATACTTGCTTTCAACATACATCCTACAATACGTCCTATTAGGGTCTTAGGTTCGTGGGATGAAGAACAAACCATGTCAGGTTGCAAAAGTGATTCAAGTTGTCTTCTGTACCGTTACCAATATTTTGCTAAAAATGTTTTTATTTGAATGATATATTTCTTTATGTTCGGTAAATTTTGTTCCATTTTTCGTCGGTTTTAAACTCGTGTTGGTATTCGTTTGAAACTTTTGAATTCTATACTAAATACAGTATTTGTAATGTACAGTACCTGCCAAAATATTTACTAAATAATCTTATTTTTAATGTACAAAACAAATAATCTTGATTGACTTTAATGCGCACGAGCAAGACCACACGTTTTCATCTGTACAGCGGTTAATGATAATTTGAGGTTATGTTGCGAAGTGAGTAATTTTACATTCGGACATTGCTCGATGGCTTACTTCAACAAAATAAACAGTAGACAGAACCATTCGCAAACATCAGGTTTCAGATTTGACTTACGACATTTCACACAGGTCTTTGTGGACGGAAGAAGATTCTTTCAGTTCAAGCATTTCCTCTTCCAGCTCGTACCATCTGCTGCTGATTCACGATTGACTGCACGTTAATTGCAAACCGCAAGTTGTTGATGCAATATCGCAACCATTCCATTCTGACCAGCGGTCAGAACCATTCAAACACGCGTACAAAAGCACAGTTAAGGTGATAAGCCTAGACCTAGAAGATACCTCAATTGGACGTCAGATCAAAGACTGCGCAGTACAGACTAGGTGGGAAAGTTCTCATCTCCGCAACGTGCTGCAATGACTAATAGGGAACATCCTTTCAACGTGGTAGTTGAGATTGTATCGATCTCAAAAATATGATAAACCTCGGAAAAATTCCGAAAACATGGATTTTTGGGGGTTTAAAAGTGTTTCGTTAAATTTTTGAATGTTCTAAAGAACTCAGTTACCTACTTCAAATTATACATAACCTACAAAAACCTTGATTTGACCTATTTGGAAGTGTATACAATGGAGAAAAGCCCCAAAATAGAAAAAATCTAGACCTCCAGCTACCCCCAAAAAAGTTATACGCTTTAAAAAATGTATTTTTACCAAACCCACCAAAAAATTTGACTTTTTTGGAAGCAAGGGGAAGAGAAAATGAAAAAAATTGAATTCTGAAAGTGAGAGCATTTTGCCTATCTTAACAGTGGTACCTATGCTGTAACTACTGCGCTCCTCAACTTCGAAGTTTAATACTATCGCGGCCATGGGATGCACGACATAGAAAAAAAGTGTTACCTAAACTATGCCTCAGAGAGCTGGCGACCTTCTGGAGATTGTACCCTTAGCACGGTATGGTCTGACAGCAATTCGTCTCAACTCATGGCGAAAAAATGGACACGGAATCAAAAAGGGATCACTCAGAAGAGTACTCAGAGAAATGATTCGAGTCTTCTGGAGTCTCCCAATAAAAAATAAAGGTAGCGACCAGAAAAGAGATCTCCCTATCGGACTAGTTCAAATACAATACCAAGTGGGCAGTTACATATAAAAGTACTTTTTTGGGGTTGCATTCCAGCACATGGTTGTGGCGCTTTGGTGCCAATAGAGTACACTATGACAGAAGAGGTGTGGAACATGACAATGCTTGCTCTAACCAATCTCGTCGAACTACCAATTTGTTAGAAGAAAATGGTATAGAAATATTGGAATGGTCTCCATATTTTGCAAATGTGGGTGGCGCACAAATCTCTGGAATGGTGTAGGAATTCACCAAGACAAATACAGGGGAAACAAATTACAGAAAATGTATAACACACCTAATAAGCAAGACTGGAAAACAGTAGATTCTATCACCTAGAAGAAGAAATAGTAATGAGCTACACGGAAGGTTGATTCTCAAAGTTATTGGACCTTTTAAAGTTCAGACTAGAGAATGTAATTTAGGGTTAGAGGATCACAATAAATCTGACAAGGTTGCAGTGGAATAGGTCACCAAAAGTCACCTCATTGAATACACTGACTATAGCCGTACAATATCTCAGAATTATAACTACTTACAGATTATGTGTTTCAACTTATTTTATTCCATAACCACTCTTGTATTTGCTCTCTACAGATCCAGAAAAGGTTATACGGGTTTTTAAATGAGTCTGTGTAAGTTGGCAGATACTGTACATAAAAAATATAAGGCCTGCAGGGCAGCTCTTGTAACTTCTAGATGATTTGCAGACCTTTCAGAAGGTCACACTGATCATAGTCAATGATTTGAGCTGTCATGCTTGACCGTCAATCACAACAACTAAATGTTTCGACAATAGTAAGTGTGATCTTGCCCAAAAGTCTGTCAAATTTTTCCAACAAAAGAAAATAACTTCTTGAATGATTGGACAGCCCAAATTATACGAAAACATCTTCCCATCCGAGAAACCGGTTCACAATAAAACTTCCTAAAGGGTTTTAAAAATTTATTGATTATTTTATACATAATATCATAATTAGATTGATTGGTGGTCGAACCGTCAACACATTAGCCTGCCAACGAGAATCACATCTGCAAATCCATGACACCGATCGCGAACAAAATAAAAAACACTAGTAAACGGAATGTTTACCTGAATCTCTGATGCAGAGAAACTAGATGCACTCATTCGGCGTAGCGAGAGTGCCTACACCTGCCCTATACCGAGATCTCATAGTTCATGTCATAAATACTAGTACGATCGGGAGTAGGGGGCCGTTGGGTCATGTGCCCCGAGCATTGGGTATTCTCCACCGTATCAGACATCTCCAACGCCCTCACGAACGACATGGGTCTTCGCCTGTTGTCCGTTACGGTGGGAGTACCCGCTCCTAACTGTTTTCTGTGCACCTGAGGACTTTGTGGCGGGTAAACGGGAATGCCGCCTCTAGCGGCAGGGTGGTAAGTTCTAGGGGCGGTTGTATACTGCTGTGTCGGGCTAGTGGGGTTAGATCGGTAAAAATCTGAAGGAGGATATCCGGGTGAAGTGTCTTTCCACATATAAACACCCCTCTGAGGAGAGTTCGCTAATTCTCGTATATTATCCACCGTATTGTTCGATCTAGGATAGGAGAGTTGCGCTTCTTGTCTTACCAGTTCACCTTCCGACATGAAGCGACGTTGGGGGCTGCCGTATCCTTGGGGCATCATCTGACGTTGGACAGGGTTATCCTGGGACTGGAAGTCGTAGTAGTGCGGGGTTTGGTTTGAGTAAACCACACCGATGAAGTCGGGCCTTCGAGGCTGAGTCGGAGTACTTGGGTTAGATCTGTGAATAGCACAAGCAACTACTTACTAGCAGGTACAAATCCACACAAGCGAAGCTGCTTTCAAAAATCATGTAACTCGAATATTACCAAACAAGCTGCGAGCGGTTTTCTTGTATATTTCATTCAAGATCAATTATTAATTGAACCCGACAATGGGCACTGTTATTTTATTACTATCTATTAAGGCTTTATCTAAATTACGGGCATACAATGAAGTTTTAGCATATAATATTTAACCCTTCGGTGGTACTAATCCAAATTATAACTATAGAAAGTAAAATAAGGCCTGAAAAACAGTTCGCTTCTTCCACCCACAAGAACAGGCTGGATTTCTATAAGATATGTACCAACGATGTCTATTCTGATTGAGAACTCTATGGAATACGGAAGTCAATTGATCTGAAAAACTTGGTCCAATTAAAGAAACTTAATAGCTACAGAAAGGTCTAAATCATTTATAATATCTACTCAAACACAGGGCATGGCGACAGCATATCACCAAAAATGTTCACTACGCTTGAACATGATATGTTTCCCCTTCAGATGCCTATCCGCTACGAATGTTGGGGACCAACATGGCAGCATAAACTTACTCTCACGTGATTATAGCCACTAACAAATAATTTTTCATTGCTTCGGCCTAAAAACAAGTTACCTATCAAAGAGCATTCAATTAATGCATTGATCAGTATAAATATACAAGAACAAATCGAAAATTATTTTTTATAAATATATTTCTGAAATTTTAAAATAAAAACATTTATATTTTGTACTCTGTATGGTTTTGTTGTTTTATATACAGGGTTGAGAAAAAGTCTGGCAACAAAACTTTATCTTTGAAACGAATAAACTTAAAATTATGAAATTTTAGGATACTAAATGGCATTATATTCTGTATGTTTTACAAGTTAATTCAAGTTTATATAAAGTCATTGTTTTCAGTATCGCAGCCATCTTGAATTCTTTTAAATAGCTAGCACAGAAAAGCTTATTTCATCCTCTTTTCATAAAGGATAGTAGTAAACTTACGTAAATAATTGAAGAAACTTTGTTAAAAATGTTAAACATGTAATTCTATACACATTTTTTATTTACAGTAAGTCCTCCAAGTGTTATTTGTTGACAATGATACAATCTATCGTGAAAGCTGCGAATATAACTGTTAATCATTTCTACAGTAATTAGCTGTTTTTTACGACTTATGCGATCTTTTAAATCATTTAGGTAGTTAATCTGTTAATATCAACGCGGTTTTTCAAGTAACCTCACAGAAAAAATCAAGTGGTGTCGAATCGGGTGATCTTGCCGGATACTCTATCATACCGCTTCGACCAATCTATCTCTGAGGTAAAATTCTATTTAAATATTGCCTAACGTCCCTTTGATAATGTGAAAATGCACCATCTTGTTGAAAATATACATTCATATTTTGAAACAAACCGTTGATTTCAGATTGATTTTGAAGAAGGTCCAGATACTTGGCTCCGGTCAGAGTACCTTCAATAAAAAAGGACCAATTAAATAGTTTTTTACAAACCAGCCCAGTCATTAATTTTTTCTGGATATTGTGTATGAATCTCCTCAATCCAGTGCGGATTACAGTCTGGGCAGTGTCGAGAATTATGCCTGTTCACATAATCATTTAAATAGAATGTGGCTTCATTACTGAATACAACAAAATCTAAAAATTGTGTTGCTTCTTTATTTCCTCTGTTACCATTTCACAAAATTCTACGCGGTGATTAAAGTCATCTTCAGATAATTCTTAGTGGGTCTAAACTTTGTATGGATGAAATGTATGTGCCTGTAAAATGGACTGTACAGACTTTCTAGTAATGTTATGATTTTTTACCAATTCACTAGTAGGCACTTTATAATTAAAATCCACAACGAAAATAAGTCCTGCAGCTGGCTGTATACCACGTATCACAAATAAAATGAGGTTAAAACTTTATAATTCTCTTGAACCTTTAATAGGATATCTAAAGTTTTATCGTCATTAGTTGCTGTTTTCTGTATAGCAGACCTTGGACTTCCTTAATTGGATTATATTCCTTAGATTATACAAAAAATGTGAATGGGACATCAGTGATTCCCAGTTCGGGTTTAGGCAAGGTTTAGGAACACGAGAAGCAATAGTAGCAACACAGGTGCTGGTCCAAAATTGTTACGATCAGAGGAAGGATGTGTTCCTATGCTTTTTAGATTACCAAAAAGCGTTTGATCGTGTCCAACACCACAAGTTAATGCAGATTCTCAAGAAAGTTGATATAGACCAAAAAGACATAAGATGCATTGAAAACTTGTACTGGCATCAAACGGCACAGTTAAAAATAGACAATTCTATATCCAAACCCATACATATAAGAAGAGGCGTTCGACAGGGATGTGTGCTTTCCCCTCTTTTATTTAACATTTATTCGGAAGCCATATTTCAAGAGTCTTTGGAGGATGCAGAGATGGGAATCAAGGTGAATGGAGTATTGATCAACAACATACGATATGCTGATGATGGTGTCTTAATTTGTGACAACATAGTCGATCTTCAACAACTTGTCACTATAATCGGAGAATACAGTAAGCGAATGGGATTAGAGATTAATACCAAAAAGACCAAATTCATGATCATCTCCAGAAACTTGGATGCACTTGAAAACTCCACCATAACACTGAATAGTAAATCCATAGAAAGAGTGAGTAAATTTAAATACCTGGGATCGTGGCTTTCGTAAAATTCAAGAAGGTACTGACTTGTTCAGAGTTCGATCTTCAACTGAGACTAAGGTTTACTAAGTGCTACGTATGGTCAGTGCTGCTATATGGCGTAGAGGGCTGGACACTCAAAACGAGGGATATAAACAGATTAGAAGCTTTCGAAATGTGGCTTTATCGCCGTATCCTAAAAATACCATGGACAGCGAAAATCACAAATATAGATGTCCTTAAAAGAATAAACCAAGAACGCCAACTTTTCGAAACCATCAAGAAAAGGAAAACGGCGTATCTAGGTCACATCATGCGAAATGAAAAATACCAGTTCCTCCAACTTATAATCGAGGGTAAAATTGAAGGCAAGAGAGGAATGGGACGCAAGAAAATGTCCTGGCTCCGAAACATAAGGCAATGGACAGGGATTAACGACATACAATCTCTGATACATATTGCAAGAAATAGAGAATTAATGGAAAATGTGATCGCTAACATCCATTAGTGGATTTGGATCTGAAGAAGAAGAGGACTTTCATTTGCACTACCAGTTTCATCAAATTTCTTTATTATTCTGGATACTGTTGATCTACTTATAGGAGGGAGTTCAGGGTTTAAAAAGATTACTTGCTTCTTCATACGTTCGTTTCCGATCACCAAATTCAACTAATATAAGTACTTGAATTCTTTCTTTTTCTGATAATTATTTTTTACCATTATTTTTTTACTTTTTCAAGTCTGTAGGTATCAATTTTAAATAATCAGTTTTGACAGTTTGTAGATAGTCAAATAATAATGGCGTTGTTTACGATCTCAATGCCTACTAATATTTTTACCTTATGTTAAAAATCTGCCGTCAAAATCATAGCAGATGCGCATGAATTAAGGTCGATTCAGACACATCAGTCCCGTCATAGTGTCGGCGTCGAACCGGTCCTGTTTGGTCACAGAACTATCAACTATCTGACAGCTGGGAAACTGTTTGTCAACTGATGAGTGTGAATGCCGGCAACATATTTGTATTAAAGAATATTTTCTATGACGGATTGTTCGGTTCGGCGCAATCACTGTGACGTGACTGATGTGTCTGAATCGACCTTTAGGGATAACACATTTTTACCACAGTCCAGTTTAATTGAATATTTTTAAAAAAGTTTCTTCAATTATTTGATGACGTCATACAAACTTGAGTTATCTTGTAAAACATGCAGAATATAACGTTATTTATTATCACAAAATTTTATAATTTTAAATTTATTCCTTTCACAGATAAAGCTTTGTTGCCAGACTTTTTTGCAGCCCTATATAATAACTACATACTTATTAACAACTCAAAAAAAGTTAAAAGTAAAAATTGGAAAAACAATCATAAGAGGTAAAGTTGTGGATTTACGAGGAACAAGGTATTTAACGGAGACAGGTTAAAAGTTAAACCTTTTCGATGATGATTTGATTGCCTGTCTTAACTAATGGGCATTAATTTGTTATTAGGAACGCGTAATAAACAGCGATCAGCAATCTTTCTAAAGAAATAGTCCTCTTCTTTTCTCTTCTGCTGATCTCTAACGTGTTGTTTTCGTCTATATTATTTCATTTATTTTCTACTTTCTAGCACCTCAATACCTTTCGACAATGAAATGAGTAACACCGAGCCGTAAGTTCTCCTTTTTTTTGCCGTGTTGCCATGTCTTTAGAAGGTATATGTTGAAAGCTTCAAATATAAAGAGAGAAAGTATTTAAAAAGTACATTTTCATTATCACACAGGGGCTGATGATATGCAGATCATTTTTTGGTTAGAATTAATAAGAGAGAAGCAATAATTAAAAAGCATAAACAGAAAAAGAAAGTGCAACGTAAATTTAATTTTGGAAAACTGCGAAAATTTGAGGTAGTGCAGGATTATCAAAAGGATATACAAGAAACCTACGCCAAACAACAAAAGTTCTTGAAAATGACAAACACTATAAAGGAAGCAATGTTGAAGAACATATCAAGAACAAAAATATTTAGAAAAAATCACTGGTTCGATGACGAATGTAGAACAGAGTTAAAAAAAAGATCAGAGATCAAGCATCAGAGAGAAAAAAGATCAAGCAAAACGAACGTATATGGTGATAAAGTAAAGCGTATTGAAGAAAATTACAAGAAAAATGGAATGAAAAATGTTTACAAAGAGGTAAAATACATTAAAACTGGGTATCAGGGAAGAATGATGAATGTAAAAGATAAGTAAAGAAACCTTATAGTGGACGAAGATAAGGTGGAAAGAATATTTCGAGATGCTAAATGACA